TCCTTTTGACCCTGCCAGATCTTACTCATTACAATGGGATCAAAGATAACCCACCATCAAAGCCTTAGTCACACTTACTTCTTTCACAGACAGGGACAGGAGGATCCCATCTACCATCATCTTGGCACTGAGTCTCTGGGCTGCCGCTCAAGGTGTAACCAGGGTCGCATTCAAACACAACGATGTCTCTGGGTCTGTAGGCAGGCTGTACCCCATTTGTTCTTCCATTCTCCACTTCTGGGCTCACGCACGTCACTGAAAGGGAAAGCATAACAAACCCTTTAGACTCTAACGCACGTGTGGGATGGAATGGACTGAGCCATTTCCTTTGATAAGTCTTTTACTGTACTTCAATTTCATAACTATTTCTACACTCTGACGTCCTCTTGTCATTTTTATCAATTCTTTCAGCATGAACATTACCCAGCTGCACGCGCAGAACCATTCACCACTGGTATATGTGGATGCAAAGCCACTGAATTTAAAGGAGTTCCTCTTGCCAGCAGTGACTTTGGCCAGTGTGTCTTGCTAGAAGTTTAGTCCCCAGCTGTGGAATTTGCTGAAATGGAGGTTCGTCTCAAAGTTCTCATGGTGTCAATTTAAATCCTTGTGTGTGTCTGACACACGGACCGAGGCAAAGGGAAGCAGCAAACAGAACAGAAACGCACCTTCACATTGAGGGTGGGGGTTGCTCTAAGCTCCAGATGCTGTACAATGAAGTGATGCCTCCCCAAAAAGGGAGTAGTTGGGGGAGAGTTCTACTGATTTGTGATTCCAATCACACCGTTAGGATGCTCAGTGAGACAGAGCATTGCCAGATCTCTGTCTGTCAGGAGGGCAGGGCAGGATGCAGGTGATCAGCTATCACAGTGATGAGCACAGTCAAGAGATCAGGGGGTGGGCGGATATTTGTATGTTCCCCATTCACAGCTGAAAAGTGACCCCAGGATTCAAAGGATGTTTATTTTTTAGACTCCAGGCACAACCCTACCAGATATTGATCATCTCAGTTACCCTGCAGTCAGCCTAGATTCACACTTACCCTGTATGCAGACTGGAACTGGAGGATCCCAGGTTCCTTCATCTTGGCACTGAATCTGACGGCTGCCATTCAGGGTGTAGCCAGGATCACATTCAAACCTAACTATGTCCCTGGGTCTATAGACAGGTCCACGTCCATCTACTTTTCTTCCATGCTCAATTTCTGGGGCGATGCAGAGAACCTCTGAAATTGGAAAGGTGCAGAAGGAGTCAGAATGCATCGGCAAGGGGTGATGTTCAGTGGGCGCTTGGCACCTGTACTCTGCACTGATTCCCTACCAGTTTCTGGGGAGAGTTTATGGTGTTGCTTTTAACCTCTAAAATGCAAACACTTTAGTGCTAGCCTGCCTAAAACCACATCCCACGGGTACCATACTGCTCCTCTCGTGGTGAATAGAGGCCCCAGATGGTTCCCTCTCAGTGAGAGAGAGCAGAGCTGGTGGGAGAGCTCCCTGTGAGGGGTCCTGAGTTTAGCGCCTTGGTCTTAAACAGTATTGGCCTGTTGGCCTTTGGGGGACACACTTTACTCTTCACTCAGCGTGTAGCAAGGGTGGGGACAGCGTGTCTGTCTGTGAGTGTGAGGGGAGCGTGGAGATTAGCTGCTAGTGTTTCTAATTTATGTTAAGGGTACCCAGGGTATCAGACAAGTGCAGCTTTTTAATATTTCATGAACGTGGTATGTGTGTGCATAGGAGTGCAGAGTTTGCATACAGCACATTTATTTTCAAAAGCATTTATTTCACCCGGTCTCTAATTAAATGAAGCTTTAATTCCCTGCTATAAAATCTGTTGCACCGGTTACCTCGTCTTTTGAGTTAAATCCTGTGGTAGGAGCTTCTTCCTCTTAGTTCTAGGTAACAGAACATAAACGCACCTTCACACTGAGGAGGGAAAGGGCTCCACGTTCCTGATGCCATACAATAAATAGATGCCTGCCCAGTTAGGGAGTAGCCGGGCTCACAGCTGTAATTTACAGACGTTCCAGTGGTGAACACTGCCGAGGCCTGGACGCTGGGCTTCCCATTGGCGATGGCTGGAGGAGAGGGACACTGCAGCACTGCAGGGAGGGAAGAGAGTCTTCACTGAAGCAGAACTGATACAGGCTGATCTCCAGAAGGGAAAAGATCCATATGCTTTTGTTGAGTCGTGCCCAATGCAACAGCAGTGAGGCAAATGCACATCAGGGGTAAAGTTACCGACCTCCATCCGGTCACATCCCCCCAAACACCTTTAAAGCACGATGACTCAGTCATGCTTCTTGTAACCCCCAGACATTTCCCCAGCCGCCTTAGTAAGGGTCCGTGGGCTATTTCCACTGTATATTTTGTGTTGGCTGAAGGGAAAAGCATAACAAACCCTTTAGACTCTAATGCTCTTTGCGGGATGGAATGGACCGAGCCATTACCTTTGATAAGTCTTTTACTGTACTTCAATTTCATAACTATTTCTACAATCTGACATCCTCGTGTCACTTCTATCAATTCTTTCATTATGAACATTACCCAGCTGCACTCACAGAACCATTCACCACTGGTACAAGTGGATGCAATTCCACTGAAGTTAAAGGAGCACCTCTTGCCAGCAGTGACTTTGGCCCATGTGTTTGACTGGAGGTTTAGTCCATAGCTGTGAAATTTGCTGAACTGGTGGTTTGTCTCAAAGTTCTTGTGGTCTCAATTTAGGTCCTTGTATGTGTGTGACACACTGAGCGAGGCAAAGGGAAGCCACAAACAGAACAGAAACGCATCTTCACATTGAGGGTGGGGGCAGTTCCAAGCTCCAGACGCTGTATGGTGAAGTGATGCCTCTCGAAGAAGGGAGTAGTCAGGATCACAACAGTAATTTACAGACACTCAACACCCAGAAAAAAAAAACAGGCTCCTTTAAGCATCTCAAGTTGGACAACCAAAAATCACTGGATAATTTAGGCTCGCTGTTGAGTGTGTTACATTGCAAGTCCTAATGGCCTGTTGCTTTTCTGAATCTTTTACTCATTTGTAACAATCTTGTCCCCACCCCATTATAGAAAAGAGCTTGACTGAAAGACCAGTGTGAGGGAGAAAAACAAAAAATGGTTCCATGATTATTCAGCATGCAGGAACTGAAGAGTCACATTCCACATCCAAAGGGAGAGTGAAAAGCGTGTGAAGTTACTGAAAGGACTGCTCAAAATTGATAAAAATAGTGAAATTCAGCAGAGGAAGCAGAAGTTCCTGCAAAAGCTGTGGAGGACCAAGAAGTTATTGAATATCATCTTCTAAATCACTTCCAGTTCCCATTTCAAGATGGGACAGACATGAGGATCCGGAGCAGAGGAATATAAAAGTGCTCTGCTTTCACCTTTAAGTAGGGTTAAAGAAATTCCCCTCAGGCAGACCCATGGCTCTTGCCAAGCTGGGTCACTTCTCGGAGCTGGTGCAGTTTGAGGAATCCTGATTCCCAACGCATTGTGGGAAAGCACAAGGATTGCAGCAAACAGAAGGGACAAAGTTACTCACCTGGCATCCCCACTGCTCTCAGAGCCCTGCCAGCACTGCCCCTAAATCTGGTTCATTTCTTATTCTCTGGGTGTGTTCCTAACCATTGGGACCGTCCACCTCTCCCCTCAAACCAGTCTGTAAAGTCTCTTGATTTGAGGTGAGCGTCAGGCAGGACAGACCCAGACTGGGTTAGTGTTTGAGATGCTCACAGATGAGACAAAAGGGAAACCTGTTTCTAGATGAATAATACGAACAAATCAGAGTTTTGACACTTGCCTGGCTCACAGACGGGCAAAGGTGGATCCCACGTGTCATCAGTTTGGCACTGACTCAGACTGTGACCCTTCATGGTGTAGCCGGGATCGCACTCAAAGGTAACACTGTCTTTATACGAATAGACATGTCTGTCACCAGATACTCTTCTTCCATTCTGGATTTGTGGGGCTGGGCATCTAACCTCTGAAAAAGAAACGCTTTAGCTGAAACAGGGCCAGAGAGGAAGAAAAAAATCTCTGCAGCCTACGCAGGTCTCAAGCCTTTTTTACACTTCCATAACTTGTTGCACTGGCCCACGGGTTCTCAAAATTCTTTACATCACGACCCTCTTCTGACAACAAAATTACTACACGACCCGGGAGGGGGGAACAAAGCCTGAGCCTGCCCAAGCTCCGCTGTCCCGGGCAGGGGGACCAAAGGCAAAGCATGAGCTCCAGCGCACCAGGAGGGGCAGTCAAAGCCCAAGAGCTTCAGCCCCAGGTAGGGGGCCTGTGACCTGAGCCCTGCCACCCAGGGCTGAAACCTTCCGGCTTAGGCCACAGGTGGTGGGACCCAGGCTTTGGTTTCGACCCCAGGCAGAGGAGCTCGGGCTTCGGCTTCAATCTCAGGCACTAGCCTATATTATTCCTCCTTGAAACTACAGATTGTTGTGGGAAATGTGGAGGGCCACCCTGAGAGGAGGAGATGGAGATACACTGGTCACAGCGTAGGTCCCTTCATAGCAACTTCACAAGGATTCTCTCCTCAAGGTGTGACCAGGGCACCAATCTCCAAGTCATGGGCGCACCCCCAGAGTAAAGCCAAGGAGCTCAGTCCTACAAGGAACCAAGTGCCCTTCACAGCCAGTGACCTCAGACATTGAGGGAGCAAAGCCATCTGCACAGTCAAGCCCGAGATGCTTGAGGAAGCTGGTGGTCCCAGCAACATACCCTCTCTTTATTACCGTTAGAAGTGCCAGCGTCTTTCAACCTGCCTACCAAACTCCTCCAAATATAAAATTCTACAAGTCCGGCTTATATTTATCCCAAGTGCATTAGTAATAAGAGGTCACATGTTTGGGACTGACACAGCTTTACTCCACCCCATTATCCTCTGCACCATCAAGCCTGTGTCCTTCACTCATAGCGGGGTAGACTTTGCATCCACACTGAAGGAACTACTACTAAATGCTATGCAAGTTCTGCAGGGAGAGATCTCGCAGGATGAAGTCTTTTTCTTTTTAAGGAAGATTTTTCTGATGTGAATTCAGTTGTCCCTTCAAATGCCAAGAACAGAAATCCTCATACTAATGGGAAATAGAGCGCTACCATAACATCCCCCACTTTCATTCCCTTGTGGCTAGGATCAAAGGTCTTTAACAGCCTTAATTGAAGTTGTGACCCTACATGGGCTGAAAACAGAGCTCCTCTATGGGTGCATCCAGTGGCACCAGTTTCCATCTCAAATCTTTAGCCCTGCTCCAGAGCTATTCAGTCTCTAACATGAATCATGGAAATCTTGTGGAGATGTTGCCACGGGCAGGCACACTAAGTGCAGGGATTTAACTGGAGTCTCACCTTTGTGGGTTTGTCTGAACCTGGACTTTCTATACATGGAACAGCAGAGCAGGGAGGGGTTTTTCACCTATGCAAACCCTACCTCCACACCGAGGGGGATGCGCACTCCACACTCCGTTTAGCCCGTCCTCAGTTGTGCAGTGAATAGAGGCCTCTCCAATGAGTGGGAAACCACTGTCACATTTGTAGGTTACAGCTGACCCATAAGAGAAGTTTTTCACGAACTTGCCAGTGCGTTTTCCATTGGGGATGTCTGGAGGCGGAAGACACGGAATACCTGGAGAGACACAGGAGGAGTGTATTTTAGAATCAATACTGGTAGAGAAGCAGCTCCAGCTACTTGATCTGATAAAGAACTTTAGGAGCCCTAGGTATGAAACCACTAGAATGAGCAAGGCCAACAGGTAATGCACCATAGGTAATTATACCCAATTCTCTTGAGCACTGATGGTCTATAAACCGCGAAAGAGACTTACTAGGATAACGTCTAAATGGTCTACAACCTTCCTTCATATGGACTGTTTTAAGATCAACCTGTTGAAAAATGCATGATTTTCCTGCTGCACCATAAGCTGGTGAGCATGCCAGGGCATGTGCATGGTTTAAAGCACAGGTCATGAACTCCATGTCTGGTTTTGGATGAATGTAAGTGGGTATCAGGTAAACCTGTTACGCTACTTGGAAATCCAGAAGAGCCAATAACCACCTTGGTGGGGCATTTTTGCCAAATCAAGCTGAGTGCCTTTGGCAATTACTCAGTTATCAAAGAAAGACCAAATTCTGATTGCCAGGAACTTGTCACAAACAAATTTCTCTCTCAGGTACAACCCCCTTCAATACGGTCTTGTTCTTAAGATACTGGGATTGGACTCAGGAGACCTTTTGGTTTTGCTACTGACTAACTCCCTAAACGATATGTCACATAACCACTCTGTGCCTCAGGTGAGACCTTCCGGGGTGGGGATCGTAATTCTTCCATATCTGTTTATTCACATTTGTGAGATTATTCAGAGAAGAGAGAGAGGGGGGCACCTAAGCACCTCGACAGACAGCTGTGACCTACTTACGCTCACAAATGGGAATATCACCGCTCCATGCAACACGCGTGCCAGAAATCTCACATCGTCTGTAAGGCCGTCCAATCAACCGGTGCCTGGAGTTAGGCAGAGGGGGTTATCAGTTCTTATCTATTTCTTTGGTGTTTGAGCTTTACTGTGAAGCTCAGTTCTTTTGGGAAGCTCTTCTCCCCAGCCACAGCAGGTGGGGACCAACACCACTGACTTTTGAGTGACCATCACAGGAGAAATGCTCCTTGCCAGAGCCGAACTCCCCAGCCCCTTGTAGAATTAATCTCTGGTACAGAAGCCTATGTAGGACCAATGAGCTGCTATTCTTTGAGCCAGGGGATCCAAATCTCCTTCTTGTGTCCTCAAGTCCTCCTCACCACATAGCTGGATCATTCTCCACCACTGAACCACAAGCCACACGCAAACGAGTAACAGCATTTCCCCTGCGCTTTCAGGCAGATTGCCAAGAGGGGTTTTGTTTTTCTCATGATGGATGAGATACATTTCTGTGGATGTGGGCCAGGGAGACCCAGCTGAGGTCTGGCTAGCTTGAGATTCATAAACTAAGTCAATCATGACTGTTGTAACCCAC